TGCCTCTAAAATCCAGAGGCCCACTAGGAGCTATGCCTCCACCTTAGTCACAGGAAGGCCTGGGTGCTGCAAGATTATCCTTTACCTTGAAACAGTTACCTAGCCCGCTCAATACCACTGGACTCATAAAGATTTCAATCAGTTCAAAAAAGTAAAAAAAAGTAAAAAGATAAGATGGGTAATTGAGTTGAGTCTGTTCTAATTATCATAAGAAACTGCAAAAAGCTTCCCACTTTCTCTTCTTGGCCGTCCAGATGATCTCAGTGACGGTTTTCTGACTGTATCTTCAGCAACTCTGGGTTTCCAAGGTTTCCAAGGACCCAGTTCAGCGGCTGCCTTTGTGGGGGAGTAAGGCCATGTTTCAGCGCCCTGTCCCCATTGAAAACCGAGTAACTTGTCTCACTTGTTGGCATAACATATCATTTGGGGAGGAAAAGCTATCATTGCTTTGAAAGCCACCGATGTAGGACGAGTCTCCTAGTAGGATTCTACCAACGAGAAAGAAGAGGGGACTGTCTCTCAGGGGCGTGGTACGTTGTGATTCCCCATCATTACCAAATGCATCATCCATACCACATACACATACAGTCATTTGATCCTTTAATTTTTTAATCTAAGGGGAAAACGATGCCTTTTTCCACTTTGTTCCATAAATATACTGGCTTTGATACTAGGTCTGTATCCTTAGTCTACTTTTGCAAAGCAGATAATGTATAGTCTGAATTTCCGTGGGAAGCAGATTCGTATTGGCAACATTGGAGGTCATTGGGATATGAAAAGGTAGGGAGAGGAAGTCTTAGACTACTGAAGCAGTGGGTCCGGAGGGCTTGCTACGGTTTCCTTTCTCTTCTTCCAGCCGACATGTGTCTTCTAGGAGTCAACTTCCCAAAGGCAGGACCTTACTGGTGTGACTTGAGTGAAAAATTATGAAGCCTGGTGCTACAGAGGCCTCATTTCCCAGGTGAAAGAGCAGGGTGTTTTTTTTTAATTTTAATTTTTTTCTGTAATGACAGGAAGCCACAGGAAAAAAATTTCCCCTTCTTCCATTTAAAAGTAAGGTTTTTTCTCTCTCATATTTTAAGAACAATTTTTTTTTCTTATAATAAGAGCAGTTTGCATTTGTTTCTGCAAAACAGAAAATACAGAGAGGCAAAAAGAATAAGCCAGAGAAGAAAACCACAATTAACACCTCAGTCGAAGCCCCTTATAATGCTCTTCCGAGAAATTCTCTCCCTTCTTGCCCCCTTCCCTGCCTTCCCCCTCCGTTCTCCCCTCCTCCTCTCCTTCCCCCCTCATCCTCGTAGCTTCCCGTTCTTTATATCTTTCCAGATATTTTCATCAACATATAAAGGTATATTTATATGACCACAGACTACTGGTTAGGACCTTCGGCTGTAAAGGATTGAAGACAGAGGTTAGTAACTAGGAGATGTGTGGTCACTGGTGGGATTTCTGGAAGAAATATTTGTGGAAATGTTTGAGGGGATAGAGCCAGTAGAATTCCGGAGGGTTATGAACTGGAAGAAGAAGGCGGGATCATTGGTGGGATCTTTTCCTGTCTTCAGAGGCTGCAAGGAAGGCAGGATGGGAGAGGATTTTAGGTAGAGCAAGGCAGTCGCCAAGATATCGAGGGAGTAAATGTTTAGTGAACTCTTCTCAGTACCGTCCTGTTGATTGCCTTTTGTAATCTCTACCCTTTTCCCCTTCTGATTAAAAGCTATTCTGGAAATGTTTTTGAAACAGTTGGCAAGATTGTGTTAATCAGTTCTCATAGTAACTTTTGTTTTATGTCTAATTTAGACCAATTTTGGCAAAGAAGTGGAGTATTGAAGCTCTAGAGCTATACAGGCCAATAAGAATATAATGCAAGATGTGTGTGTGTGTGTGTGTTTAAAATATCTAATAAAGTTTAAAAAGTGAAAAATAAGTGAAACTAATTTTAATAATATATTTTATTTAACCAACATAGCCAAAATAATATCATTTCAACATGTCAATGTAAAAATTAGTAATGAGATATTTTACATTCTTTTTTTCCCTATATCATCTTAAAGATCTGGAGCAGCCACAGTTCACCTGCTCAATAGCCACCCACAGCTGGTGGCTGCCATGTTGGACAGTGTAGCTCTGGAGGGTCTACACAGTGTGTAGCACTAATATAAGAAATAAAAGTGTGTCTCTTCTTAGCAGGCAACAGACTCTCTTGTTAGCCAAGCTCAGGCTCCTCTGAGCTCTTTTTCCACTAGGCCCTGTCCTTGGGTATGTCCTCAAGAACCCATTTTAGCAAGAATCCTGTCAATAGGATTTTGAAAGAGTATGGATATAAGAAACTTAAACTATGGAAGTGTCTGGCCACATGAGCTCTTGCCAGGATGTGTGGCTCTCCTGTGTCTTTGGCTGTAGGCGTGAAAACTGCACTCAGCCCTGGAGTTGGCTCCTGGCTCTGTCACCAGCAGGTCACCTAACTTTACTGGGCCCCAGTTTCGGCATCTGTGGCCCTCAGAGTCTCTCCCTGTCTGTATTCTTCAGGATGCCCAGTGGATTTCAGATCAGCAATGGTGAGGGAGTCCTTGGCACTCCAGTCCCTGCAGGGCTGAAGGTATCATTGATGCGAGGAAGCCATTCACTGTTTCAGTCTATCTGAGCTGTGTTTTCCCTTCTTGTCCTTTGATTTCAGTAATTAACACAAATATACCTAAAGGGGATTCATGGTTGAAGCAAGTAATTTCTTTTATTTTTTTAAACTAAATTTATTGGGGTGACATTGGTTAATAAAATTATATAGGTTTCTGATACATGATCTGTATGTTGCAGTGTGTGTCCACCACCCAAAGTCAAATCATCTTCTGTCATATATTTGGCCCCCTTTACTCCCTTCTCCCCTTCCCTCTGGTAACCACCACACTGTTGTCTATGTCTGTGAGTTTTTGTTTGTTGTTTTTTCTTGTTTGAAACAAGTAGTTTAAAAATGCATGAAGGAGTGCTTAAAGGAAGTATTTTAGTAAATATTTCCTGGTAATAATGGGCAGTTCAACTGTTACAGCACTAATTGGTTAGTTGCCCTTTAAAACCGAGAGGCAGATTTCAGGGATATATTCATTCTGTAGTGACGAGCAGCTAAGTTCAGCAGCAGCTGCACTCAGATATTCAAGAAATAGTAAAATAGGCGCTTGGGAGAACAAAAGATAAAATTACCGGGAAAGAATCGTCAGAACTGAGACTTCGATCAGATAATTGGCATTTTGTTGAGAAGATTAAATAAAAGTGTGGCAATATTCTCAGTGATAATATTTTCAGTACTTCACCTTTTCAGGTCTTTAAACCTGGAATTTCTAACAATACAGTGCATTGCTTCAGTGCCAGTGCCTAGCGGCTCCTGCACACTCTGATCTTCAGAACTCTACTTTTGACTGTTTTCTCTCAAGGTCAATAGTATTTGAGTTGTGTTTGAGTATCTGCACTGCCTTAACCTTAGACTTTGAGGTAAAAAACTATAGATCTTGTATGAAATACTAAAGACATGTCTTGAATTGTGACATGCATGTGTCACAAAATAGCTAACACTCCCAAAGGAGAGCAGGTTGTGTTATTTGTTTTGACTTTTCAATTTTTTAATGCACTGGAAGTCACTTTGACACATAAGTGTAAAATATACATTAGCTATAGATATATTGCTAGGATTCGCTATAATGAGACCGTGGAATACAAGCATTTAAAGAAAGAAATTATTCTTAATAATTAGATCTTGCTTACTTAGTATTACCAATCAGGAAAACAAAATGGTTTCAAGTTTTTATGCAAAAAACATTTACAATGTCTTCCTAAAAGAATCTTAGTTATATTTTTCTAGCCTTTTTTTCTTTTAAATCAGGAAGGAGCCATACTTTCTATTTTTAAATTGAAATTTTTTTTTAAATTGACATATAGTTTTATATTAGTTTTGGGTATACAACATAATGATTCAATATTTGCATTTATTATGAAATGATGACCACGATAAGTCTAGTTAACATTTGTCACCCCAAAGTTACAGATTTTTTTCTTGTGATGAGAACTTTTAAGATCTATTCTCGGCCACTTTCAAATATACAATACAAATTATTAACTATAGCCACCATGCTGTACATCACATCTCCATGCCTTATTTATTTTAGAGATGGAAATTTGTACTTTTTTACCACCTAGATACAAACTTTTCGCCTAGCCTTTTGGTAAAAGCAGAATTGGAGTGATTTTTGTCCTGCTCTTAGAAGCTGCAGCAAATGAGGGTACTTAGTGATTGACGCCTCCTGCGTAGTGATGAGCCAAGCTAGGTGCCAATGTCAGGCTGCTCCCTGATGACAGAGGGAAGTCCTGTGGAAGAAACTATATTGCCCAAAGAAACACAGGGGCTCATGTTTGAGTGTGTACTTGAGTGGAGAAATCTAAATGACCCAAGGAAAGATTTTCATGCAAAACAGTAACCCTCAAAACACAATTTTTTATTGACATTTTTTTAATTTTTATTTTTGGAGCGAGAGCTCGTTTGCTGAGTGGCTGTGTTCTCAGAACAAACAAACTTCTCAGCTCTGGCCCGCGTGGCCCGTTTCGCTCTCCGCCCTCCAGCTCCCTCCTTGGAGTTGGAGACCTGATCCCCTGGCTGAAGTTCCCCCGCTCCCGCTCCCCGTGGGGTGCCTGGTCATGTCAGGAAAAAAATCAGGAAAAAGAAAGGGTAGGCAGGCCTAGGTGAAGTCATCCCATAAAGGTTAATAGCTGGGCGATGACACCTTCTCACACGACTGGACAGAATGCGGGGCAGCTGGGCCGTGCTTGCTCCCAGCTGCCTGTCACGGTACTGGGAGTAAGAGGTGACCTATTTATTTTTAGAAGGGGACAGTCATAATAACTCGGCTCTTAGCTTCATTCAAGGCAGGCAGGCAGGCGCTTTGGAAGTTTGTAAACACCTACTTTCTGAGTAAGGGAGGAGTGTTTTTTTTCCAAAAAGGAAAGAACTTGGCTGCTGGGGTTTTTCCTCCTGTGGTCATCTGGAGGAGAGATCGTCGTGGCAGGACGAGCTGCAGCTCTCTCCACTGTCTTAGCATTTTCAGAGGGCAGACATGCCTGAAGGTGAGGATTTGGGACCAGACAAAAGGTAATTACAATATATTTTTACTACTTCTTGAGACTGTTTCATTTGCTAGGTATCTTTCATTTGCTAGTTATCTTTTTTAAAAATATTATGACTAGTTTAAATGAAAAATTTTAAAAATTAGAATGTAATCCCTTAATTTTAGGAAACGGAATTTTCTTAAGCATGAAGAGAGAGACATAAAATTAACTTAATATACCCTTAGAAACATGTGCAAATAAGTGTTTTTCTTCAGTGGGGAAGCAATGGTGTAAAATTTTTAAAAGTATTCTTCCCTACAATTTTTGGTGTTTGATTTTTAACTTTAGATGATAGTCATTGGAAATCTAAGCTAGTGAACATTTTGTAAAATATTTGCATTTTAAAGACTTGTTGAATATTTCTAAAGGTTAAATATTAGAACAATATACCAATTTTGATATTAAAACACTTTTTGTTTAACCACAATCCTATGAAAATGTGGTCAGTTGAAGCCCATATGCAGAATATTAATTGTATCAATGTTTTTATTAATGTCTAGCTCTAAGAAGGGGACAGAGATGGGAAAGAAAACAGGCAATTATTCTTACTAATAAGGGCATCACTTGCACCCATACTGAAGGTCTCATTTCTAACCCCATTGCTGTATTAACAAAATTGTATGAATCAGTTTCATTGGAATTCTAATTAGGATCGTGGAGATTCAGATAGAAAGAAGTAGAAAGAAAACAAAGCAGAAACAAACTCATGGATAAAGAACAGACCGATGGTTCCTGGAGGGGAGGGGGTTGGGGGACTTGGTGAAAAAGGTGAAGGGATTAAGAAATACAAATTGGTTGTTACGGAACAGTCACAGGATGTCAAGTACAGCACAGGGAGTATAGTCAGTACTATTGTGGTGACTAAGTCTGGTGCCAGGTGGGTGCTGGACTTGTGGGGATGATCACTTCATAAGGTATCTAAATGTCTAACCACTATGCTGTATACCTGAAACGAATAGAATATTGAACTATAACTGAAACAAATTTTAAAGCTGTTTAAAAAGGAAAAGGGACTGGTGACAATTTTTTTTGTCAAAGGTGGAAACTGGTAGTTCTGTAGGAGTAGGATGCCAGTACTTTTGTTGTTCTGTTTAAGACAAGCCCGTTTCAGCCGTGTGTGTGCTGATTATAATGAGTTCTAATTGTGTCCTTAAAAGCTGCTTTTCTCTTTAGTTTTCTAGTTTATATTTTCTTCCAGATTCCTTCCCAGTAAATCAGATGGGGACAGTAAGTTGATATTTAATTGAATAATGAAACAATTTTCTATATAAAATGAGACATTAAATCAAGCACTTGAAGATGGCATTTATAAAAGTGGCTAGATTTAGGACAGAGACTAACTAGTTTAGAAAATGTTTTCAGAGAAATGTAAATGACAGTCTTGGTTTTTGAGATAATGGGGTTGATCTACCTGTATCACCCCCACCCCGCCCCCACCCCATGACATTTTAACATTTCTGAAGGCAGCACTTTCTCTTTTTCTCTTAGCATCTTCGCATTCCCACCAGCTCTGCATAGAAGTTTGCATAGAATAGGCATTTTTAATAAATACCTGTTGAATAGGATGTATTTATAGACCATTTCAATACTTGCAATAAATAGCTAGGGGGCCTGATTGTTTTAGCAACTGAAGAGAGAGATTTGGCAGAAATGTAATAAGGGCTGCCTTAATGAAATGTAACATCACACAATTAAATAGCAATTAATTGTGGATAATTATAAATATTTTGAACTAACAGTGATGTAAACTAAACATAAGATTGTTTTCTAAGAATTTATTTTACTGATTGCAAAGGACAGATAGTCAAGAAGGAGAATATATATCTAATAATTATTATTATTACCAAGGACTGATAATGTATTTGCTGAAAATGGGAAACTCCCTCTCACTCCTTTGAAGTAATGTACCCCTGCTTCCACTGTTTTATTTTGAGGAGGTAACTCCCTGTTTTGAACAGTTTGTGGTTTCCTATAAACTTTGCTTCATATGTTTTTTGTTTTTCCCCCATCTGTGTAGAAAGTTAGAAAGGGCACCCTGGGCAGGGCGAACGTTTACAGCTAGGCTAGAAATAAAATATTACACTCGGTAGGGAATTTTACTCTTGCTAAATTTGAGATTAAGTGCCACTGGACAACTCCTCTGGTACCATGTCTAAGAGAAATAACTATTATAAGTGGCGGTCTGCTGACCACACTTGTTCTTAGGGCCCGAGTGCTGCGGACTATAGTGGAGCCTCACATGCAGGCTTCTTCATATTACCTGGGTCCCATTGTGGAATTTGGTGACTCTGGAACTGGCAGTGAGCTAAATCTGAATGTAGTGTCTTAAATCAGTGGAAACCAAATGACACGAAGCTTGGTTAGAGTGCCGGGCTGTGTGCTGGGGGCGCCCTGTGCCTGCCTGCCCCGTGCACTCGGGCCTGGGTCCGAGGCAGCCTTTCCCACCCACTGAGTGCAGGGCAGGGCTGGGGCGGGAGGCAGGCAGAGGAGACCCCCCTCCTCCCGTTAGCCTGTTGCCAGTCATAAACACCCTCCAGAGACGCAGTGCCAGCTTCAAGGTCAGGGAGGGGGGAGAGGGTGTGAAAGAATGCCATTCTGAAGCAGAAGTAGGCAGGCAGAAACCAAAGCGGGAAGCCGGGGAGAGAGGAAAAAAGTGGGGGCAGTGCCTGGGGCAGCTGACAGAATCAAGAAATACGAAGAAAATTAGACCCTGGCCAGAGGCCTGGCTCTCCGCCGTCCCTTGGCACCTGATTTGGGGCCCCACCGGGGAGGCAGCGGTGCACACCCTGGAGGTGTCAGTACCTGTGTGGGGGAGTGTGGACAGGTGAAGCATTCCCAGGTCCAGCTGCCAGCAAGGGGGTGGACCCCAGGCTGCCATGACTGAGCTCTGAGTGTCTTACAGAGAAACTTCCACATGAGCTCACCACGTCCACACGCTCGCTCTGTATGTGTTTATCAAGTGCGGCATCTAAGCCAGTTGCTGTGCCAGGGGGTAGGGTGAGGGGTTAGGCCCCTGATCGCATGGAGCATACAGCCTGAATGGGGGAGACAGACACTTAACAGGTTAAAAATAAAGGCTAAACATATTTTAAAAAGGTAATGTAGAAGAATACCTGGCGTGTGTGGTATGAAAGACCAGTTCTGAAGGCCTCTGGAGGAGGTGCCCTTGGCACTGAGATGTGAAGGACTGGCCATGTGAGTGTGTAAGGAGGGTGTGCTCCAGAAGAGGACCTGGAATGAGCACAGACCCTGAGAGGGGATAAATTGCTGCCTCTTAGGAGCAGAAAGGCAGAAATGGAGAGCAATGCATAGGAAAAGGTCTGGCCCGGCCCAGAGCGTCTCATAGGCCAGAGTGGGAGGTTAGATGCTATTCAAGGTGGTGAGAAGTCATTAGAGGGTTTGAAGGAAGGGGTTAGGGTGGGAGGTGGGGAGTGGAGCCACCTAAATACTTCAGAGACATTATGAGGTAATAGGCTTTTATGAGTTGGCCCGAGAACTTTAGTGCCATTTAAAACTTCTCATGGAAACATGGATTCTGAGGTGTAAAAATGCTAAGTTTTGAAACATAACTAAGTCCTTAGTTGGAAATTAGGTGAATGTGCATTTCAGAAATCAGTATAAATTACACATCAAGAAAACCTAAGCATCGAGGCTGATATAGTGGAAGTTCAAGACAGTACTGTTGATTATGAGTAGTTTGGGGTCACCCATTGGGTAGCAGATAACTGGGTCCCCTGCGTGGTCTTGCAGGCCTGTAATGGGTGCTTGGATTCATGTCAGGGGCTGTACCTCCTGCAGGAACAGAACAACTTTTCACAGTGAGTCTGACCATTGGGTGACCCAGTGGGGTGGGCTCTGAGTGTGTGACAGGCTCCACTGTTGTTCTTTTTGGACTGGTATCTCAAATCCACAGTAAGGGAAGGCGATCTGATGTCTTGCTAACCATGGAACAGGAAAAGAGCACTGCTGGGATGCCCCCTGGAAGATCACAGATAGCAACTATCCTTTGGATTGTTCGAAGTGTCTGCTAATCTTTTACACAGATCTAACATTTAACCAATAAGTAGAATATTGCCGAAAGGACAATGTGCAGTTTTAGCGATTGAGAAGGAAATATTGGCTGTTACTGCAGGACTTTCTAAAGCATTGTTATTTGGCTTGTAATATAATATAGTAAAAGCTTAAAACTTTGAGTGAAAAAGGCCACTGAGCCCCTAAAATTGTAACTCAGTAGTAGTCATTTTGGTTGCTCACAGATCTCACAGCTGAACTCTGGAGTGGTGAGGTTCCATCTGTTTGGGCTCTGGATATATGAAGGGCTATTTTATTTAAGAAAACCAAAGCTCTTTGAAAGCACATGGCCTAATTAGTGTTTGAAAATGGCATTAGCAGTGGCATTGAATTTTATTCTTAGAGGGTTTAAAAGAAATGGATTTAAATGTAGTTTTTAATCCAGATGCTTTAATAATTCAGGTCGGCCCAATTATAGGCTTAATTTTACATTGTTCATGAAGCCTATCCTTTGATGATACTATTTCTTTGATGATACTATTTCTTAGCCTCACCAAGAAACCTGACCAGCACGCCCCACCTCAAGCTTTATGTGAGATGGGTTTCCACAAGCAAGCATACTTCAGTTTCTATATGCCCAAAAAATCCTTATGCTGACTTCGACTTTGGAATAGGCACAGAGAGGTGAAGTCAGTGAAGTTCACGCAGTGAAGGGCTTGCTATTCGAAGGCAGGTGGCTGACTCCTGAGCCTTTGCAGTTAGACACATATATAGTCTTATGGTGGTGACACACGGGCTGGGTGTGATGCTCAGAAAGGTCAGTATGGTTGGCGCACAAGGAGAAAGGAGAGAGTGGCTGGAGATGAGTGGAGAGGTAGAGAGGAGCCCCTGGTTGGCCCTTCCAGGTAATGGTGTGCTGGTCTCTGGGGGAGGGGAAGCCCCAATCTTAGCTTTCGCTGACTCCTTTTCAGG